ACACCCTCTCCCCTCCCAGGGCCTGATATCTCACTTTCCCTCTCTTTCTATCGATCGAAAGATCTCTACCGATCTTTCTCTCTCTGTATGTCTCTGGCAAGCACATATGCCCTATACCAATAAACCAAATAATAATAACAACAATAGTAATATTAGGTTGTCGGCAAAATCATAACATATTTTTCTATATTCTTCTATGGAAAAATGTGTCATGACTTTACTGATGACCCAATAAGTAAGTAAAATAAAATAACATTTCTTACAGATCAGAGAAGATTTCTGAATAGGGGAAAGACTTACAGTGCAAGCCTTTATTCTCTTTCTGATATTCCAGGATCAAACTGTCTCCCTGGCCTACCAGCCCTTAACCACTGAAAACCCTGACCCCGCTGACCTAGGGTCCACAGGCCAACTGACATCCTGAAGCCCAAACTGGGATGCAAGGTGGGGTCTCATTGGGGCGCTGTGTGAGGGTAGATGTGTCATGGAGAAGAAACAGAGTGGAGGGAGGGAGCTCTGGAGTCTTATTCCCTTTCTCACCTCCGTTCCAGGCTTCTCATGGGATATTATGCAGGTCATCTGTCCAGCCCCAGATTCTATATCATTTCAATGAACTTCCACACAGAAGAATAGACTCTTTCATTGTAGTTCTGAAGGAAGATATTGCTAACAGAAGAGGTTTAACTGATGATTTTTAACTTTATAATTTCGCTATCAATTATTTTTTTACACTTAATTGGTCATAAAAGTCAACTTTCTATTTATTCTACATGAACTTTTCTTTTTTTAGAGAAATTTTTGCTATAGGGCGTGTGCACTCAATAGAAAGACAGAGAGATAGAAAGCGAGAAATCACCACCCAGGGAGATAGCCATACAGCAATCCCTTCTCGTCCACTCTCCTTTTAGGATTTTGGCATGCATGCACATCCACCCGACTTGGGTTCCAAGCTGCCAGGTCTATGATGACTCCAATCCTGGGTGCCACGTGGCAGTCTGGCAACATAACTATTACACCACCTGCTGGTTCCCAATGTTAACTTCTTGGTTAGGATAAATTCATTTACAAATCCGTCCTGCTTCAGCACCTCACCGAAACTCTCAGAGAGATTAATGTCACTCTGGTTCTGGGCACTCTCCAAAAACTGTTTTATCTCATAGTGCCAAGGTCCAAACTGCTGCTGCTGCTTATGTGCTGGCTGGTTTCTTGAGGCTCCTGATAAATGACATCAGACCTGGAGGGCTCAGCATTACTTCCTCCATTGAAGCCCCAGTGATGGCATGCCCCAGTGTGTGTTCCCCAGCAGACCCCACAGCCACGCCAGCTGCAGTGGTTGCCTTCTGGGCCATCAGACCTGGAAGCTGCCATGCAGTGGCAGGAGAGCCAACTGCAGATGGTGGGGCCGCTACAGGCGACTGAGCTGCTGGCCTAGAGACAACTCTCATCTGAGATGCCTGGCTGGTCAGCTGGTCAGAGGGGCCATGCGGGAAGTGAGGCTTCCACTAGGCCTCGCAAGCACACCACGGCTTAACTGGAAGTGCGAAACGCTGAAAATAGCCAGACAGCTTCTGCGGAGGAGAGCAGAAGGCAGAAGTGCAAGCAGTTTTATTGAAAGAGGAAAATCTTCCAATGCAGTGGAAGGAGGCCCCAGCAGGTTGCCATAGATAGGCTGAAATGGCCTAGTTGTACAGGGTCCGGACAAGGAAGAAAAACCCATTTCTCTTTGAAATGGGTTATCAGCTTAGGTTCTGGAATTTAAGGCATCTCAGAATCTTGAGTTAATCTTAGTCCCTAGAAGGGGGCAGATGGCTCTTTGTTTTAGTTAATGGTGGAAATTTCCTTATCTTTGTGCTCTGGACTGTGAATGGTTTGGATCTAAGTCCATTAGCAAGGAGTCATAAATTCTCTAGGAACATGTAAGGGGGAAAAGAGGGATGTGTTGTATTTTTTTTAAAGCTGAATATGCTTTATTTTATTTTTAGAATTGTTTATTTAATGTTATTTATTATTATTCTTCAAATTGAGCAGAAAGAGAGAGAGGGAGGAAAGTGAGAAAGCAAGCCACCAGGTCCAGAATTTGAACCACCTTAACCACCACACTACCTGCTGGCCTTGATTATGTTGTATTTTAACTAAACTATAGAAGAGAAAACATAATGACTTTATTTAAAAACTTAGTGATGTGACCAACAGGTGGCATAGTGGTTAATGCCCTGGACTACAACATGGCCAACCATGGTTCAAGTCCCAGACCTGTAGGCTTGAAATACACCAGGCACATGTGCATGCATGCCCAAAATCCTGAGAGGAGAATGGAGGAGAAGGGATGGCAGCACAGCCATCTGTTTCTCTCTGTCTCTCTGGTGAATACACACACCCTATAGCAAAAATCTATTAAAAAAAGAAAAAGATTAGTCTGTCTCTTTCAGTCCTTGCCCTGCCTGCCTATGAGTGGAGTCTAACTCCTAACTCACCACTGTCCCTGGTACGAATGGCCAAGCCTTGCTGGGCTTTCCCAAGGTGACACCTGCTTTATCTGAGTCTAGGGCTAGGCCTAACTTGGTCACTCTGAGGACACATTGCGACCTCATTTCTGTGTCAGACTCTCTCAGCTGTAAGGTGTGAGCTGGTGACCACGCTCAACCTGAAGAATGTGACCTGGAGATTGAGCAAAGGAACCACCCTAGGCTCCATCATGTTCCATTCCTGTATCTTATGCAATTCTGGGTGTGGTTCCTCACCACTCACACCTTTTTCTGGTTTCTTTATTTCCTTCCTTCACTACCTTTCCTCCTCCTCTTCTGTGAATTCTTTACCCCATTTCTCAGAATCTATCTTTCCCTTCCAAGTCCTGACAGAATTTTCCAAATCTCTGGACCCAGTCTTCTATTCCTACATCTTATCCCCTCTCAGAACAAGGATGCTATCCTGTCCTCTCAACTGCCCAGTGAACTTGTGATCAGCAGTAAGCTAGAAATGAGCAGGTGGCCCTGAGAAAATATCAGAAAGACATCAGCAACATCCATCACAACTTCTCAGGAGTTACGACAAGACCATCCATGAGAATACCTTCCTCCTAGCCAGCTCCTGGCATCGGGAAGGTGAGGCAGATCTCATTGTTCTTTAGTACCTGGGAAACCCATCGGAATCATTGTTAATGCTCCTCTTATCAATCCTCATAAATACAAAAGCACACAACAAGTCGTTTTGGTCAACATCCTGATTCCCACTGGGGCAATGAATTGATTGGGTAGTTCATCCAAATAAGGATGCTCATACCTTCTAAGCCCACACCTGTGAGAGATACGCAAGTGCAGGAAAACTCCATGAATCCAAAGAAGGAAGCCAGATACTATGACAGACCTTCCCCTGCTAAATATTTATTATCAACTCTTGGAATAAATATAACATCTAACCCCATTCCTGGTGCAGTTGTCCTTCTCTGGCAGCTCTCCACTTGCAGGCCTTTAAGGCATGGAGGTGTACTTCTTTTCTATTAAAAATCCTCACTTCCCTATTAAAACGTCCTTTTTCCTAATTTACAAGTGTTTGTGGTTTTTCATTTTGTGTCTCAGGATGGGTCTCTAATGTCAGAGATCTGGTCCTAAAGAGCCAAAGATTTTACACAACAGAGCTCAACACTCTCCCATCCTATTACAAACTCAGGATCCCCATCACCTGGCTGGACCTCATCCCCGTAATGTTCAGATCAGAAGTCTCTTCTCTGCTGCCTTCCTCCCCTATGCCTGAAGAGTCCGGCCTCCTGATGTCTCTTGCTACCTGTGGTTCTACGTCTCATTGGAGAAATATCTTTGAGTCACTTTGATTCTTGCCCTCCCTTCCCTATACACGTCTAATGAGTCACTGCATCGGCTGCTACATGGTGCCTTCCTCCCACTCTCACACATTCCCCCTGCAGGCTCCCAGCTCATCAGAATAGCTACAAAGTGCCTGGTCCTGGGAGTGAAGGGAGATGCCCACCAGGACCCACACCTGGAGTGTCCTCAGTCCTTGGCAGGTCACCAAGGGGTGGGGATGAGTGAAATGTTGGACCTCCTTGGTGTGTAATAGGGTTCCTCACTGACAGCCTGAATAGCAGCCCCCAAAAAGCCAGGCCCTGAATTCCTTGGGTCTTTTGACTTTCTGGGAGTTTAAGGTTCGTTCATATTACCAGCATCACCTACAGGAGGGCCCTGCTACCTTGGCCTTGAGACAGTAGAGGCAACTCCACCCTCGGCGACCCTTATTTTTTTTACTGTTGTTGTTCTTTTTATCATTTCTCATTATGGTGATTCAGCTAAGAATTACAAAGAGCTGATGACCTAGAACTCATCTCTCTTGGGATATGGAGGATACAGAACCAATTTTTGTTTGCTTTGCATTTGTGAATTTGTCTCATGTTTTTCCCCTTAAAATGAATATATATACATGGGGCCAGCAAGTGGCATGGTGGTTAAGGGCGCTGAACTCCCACATGGCTGATTGTTGTTCAAGTTTTAGACCTGGCAGCTTGCTTTCTCACTATATATATATTCTTTTTTTTTTCTCATATATGCAGCTATGACAAATGACTTTTTCGATCTCCAGGGATTTTCAGAGGATTCTCTGGGCTGAGTCTTCTTTTCTCATCTGCCCCCCTGCATGCCACCCAGGTAAGCCACCTCAGCACCAACATTGCCACTGGGGTCTTTCCCACCTTTGGCACCTTCACTCATCAGGACAAGGGGTCAGAGAGAGGCACCCACCAAGGCCATCAGAGGTGACAAGTCTTCAGGTTGGACTTGAATTTCTTGCATCTGGGCTAATTGGTGTGGTGATGCATCCACCTATAAAAATTACAGAGTGGCTCATCCAGGGGTTTTGCATCTGTTGCAAGCAGTGGAGGGAGGAGAGTTCTCCTCCTTGGGTCCTAGCAGACTGCGACTGGGGCTCAGAGGACCAGCCTTTCTTGCTGCCTTCTGAGCCCAATCTTTCTCGGCCATCACCCCCACCTCTGCCCTATGGCGGCTATCACGGACCTCTCCTTTATGTACCGCTGGTTCAAGAACTGCAATCTGGTCAGCAATCTCTCAGAAAAGTATGTCTTCATCACTGGCTGTGACTCTGGTTTCGGGAACCTGCTGGCCAGACAGCTGGTTGATCGGGGCATGCGAGTGTTGGCTGCTTGCTTCACTGAGGAGGGGGCCCAGAAACTTCAGCA